GTGTCCCCGGGGGCAGCCGGGCTGGGCAGAGCGGCGGCGCCTGGCTTCCTCTTACTCCTCTCCCCAGTCCTAAAATGAGCGCTCTCCCCGGCGCTCTGGGAGCTTAGAGGAAGGCGTAGCTAGATATCTCTCTCTCTTTCTCTCCCTCTCTCTCTCTCCCCTTTCCTCCCCCCTTGGTGTTTCTTCCAGCTCAGCCTCCTTCTCATTTCATCTCTACGTGCCCAGAGCTTCAAATACAACCCTCCCATCACAATCAGACGGCCACAAAACTTCAACCAGCCGTTTCTCTGCCAGGAAGTGGCGGAGATAGAACCTGGATGGGTAATTACAAACCGCGCCCGCGCGCGCGCGCGTGTGTGTGTGTGTGTGTGTGTGTGTGTGTGTGTGTGTGTGTGTTCCACTTTGCTTTTCCGGGATTTGTTTTATCTTACTGGCTCGATAGACGCATCTCCTTTTTGGTGGCACCTCTCTCTGTCTCTTTGTCTCTCCCTGACTCACAGGGAGTGTGCACGGCACTGTCTGTCTCTCTGTAGTTTTCCGTGAAATTCCAAATTCTGCTTCTACAAGCAGACATTTTGGAAAGGTTATTCATGGGAAAGGGGTGAGAAAAGGTGACGAGTAACTGGGGCTTGGGCCATGATTCTTTTCATCTCAAGGATAATAAACACGTTTGCAGGGGAAGTGGGTGAAATGTGAATCCTTCCAAGTTTCCTCTGTCATTCATAAATGGGATTGGAGGAGGTGGAAAAAAAATTCCCTGCTATGAACACCAAAGCTCACCAGCCCCTCTGGCTCCGCACACCATTACCCTGGGATAATTATGGTGTCACTACTTGTTTCTCTGTGTGCACCTTTCCTTATTGAGACTCGGGGGGGGGGAGAAGCATATTGATTACTGCTGCTACTAATTACCTTCTTTCTCTGATCAGTTTCATAGTTAAGCAGAGTAGATGAAGCGTAATGAAGGTGCAAATCTGAAATGCGGAGCCTGGAAAACAGTGTGAGTCTGATGGGCCCGCTGAGGGTGGTGGAAGCTGTTTCAGTCTCCTAACTCAATTATTCCATTCTTTCTTGAGATAATTTGATTGAGAATGTCTTGGTGATCTAATGATTATCAAAAAATATGTGGATAAATTAATTTAAAAGTTTCTTTGGTGCCAAGCCCCTAGCCTAACTTCCTCCCTCTCAGCTCATCAAAGAGTGGCCCTGCAGGTCGAGCCAGTGTATCCTTTAAGTCATAGAAAAACTACCTGTTTCTCCACCCTGCACGGAAGTTTGCTTTCTCCCACTCTGCTCCTTTGTCAGAAGGAAGGACTCCTTCAAAGGGAGATTGCTAGGTTTCTGGTCCAGAGAGAGGGTGCTGGTGGCTGGGGAGTAGACCCAGTATCTCTGCAGCGTCTGCTAAGGTGCCTTAAGGTATGGCGAGGGCTGGGTTTGAGGATTGACAATTTCTCTGCTTTGCTTTCTCGTCTCTGAGGATGGAGTTGGGATGGGGAGTGGCTGGTGTACCGAGCTGACTCTGCAGGGAAGGTGGCAGTTCAGTGGTGGGGTTGGGGGTAGGGGTGATTTCCTCCGCTGCTGTCCTTGAGGCAGCTATGAGGGGCCAGCATCTCAGCTTTTAGGGGGTGGAGAGCTGCTGGGTGTCACTATGAGCACCAGAGAGCTTGACCTCACTGATGCCTGTCACCTTGGTTGCCTTTGACCTGTCCAGGAATTCACTCCAGACTGGAGATAGAGGCTTTTCTCACCCCTACCCCTTTCAGACCAACCTCTGAACCTATTGCTCCAAAATAACCAGTAGCAGAAGCTCAGAAGTCTGCTGTCCATAGAACCTGCAAACCTCTGAGCCACAGACAGCTGCTGCAGCTTTAGCGCCATTTGATTAATCTCTAGCCAGATCACCATTGAGAAAAGGACAAGGCCTGGGGGAGGAAGGTGACAGCTCCCTTCAACCAGTGTGGAGAAAGAGGAGATTTCTGGATACGGAACAGGCCTGGGGGTTCAGCTTCACTCTGCTACTTGGAAACTGCAGGACTCCAACCCACTTGGCCACTCCGAGCCTCAGTTTCACCAGATGTAAAATGGGCCCTTTCGTGCCTGCCCAATCCTTTCGGAGACTTCCCCACTATGTCCCTCTTTGGACTCTCTGGCCCCATATCCAGACCTCCATCACTACAGTCACTGAACTGGGTGTGCACGCGTTCTCTTCCCTCATCGCTTTGGAAGCTCTCTGAGGCCAACAGCTTGCTCACCGTTATGTCTTTGAAACCTGATATGGGGCTGGCTCCACAGAAGCCTGATAAAGGTTGAGTGATGACGGAGAGGATTGAAGGGTGCGAGACAAGTGAAGGGCCTGGCACATAGGGGGCACTCAGCAAGGGCGGGCTTCCCCCTTTTACATCCAGAGTGGTCTCCAGCCCCTTCTTCTGTGGAACCCGTGTACCACTCCCTTCCCCCTTCCCGGCCAGCCTGGCTCCTTAGGTCCCTTCTGCTGCTGGGGCCCAGGCAGGGCTACCTGGGAAGAACTGGCTTGGCTCAGGGCCCAATGGATGCTTGGGACCCACCAGGCCCGGTGCGTTGTGGCTGCAGTATGGATGCTCTTAGGGGAGCGGCTTTGTGTGCCTGCGGCTTGTTACTTGCAAAGGGCTTAGAGGAAATTAGCCGAAATGCCAAAGGCCTATTTTGAGCTGCTTCTTTGATGGAGTGGAAATAACATGGGATTTGGGCACAGCAGACCTGGCCTTGAAGCACAAAGCTGCCGTTTCCTCATTGTTTGACCTTGAACCTCTCCAGAAACTCGTCTCTTAATCTATCAGGGAGGACCGTGGATAAGAGCAAAGGCATGGCTGTCAGTGCTTCCTTTCAATGACAGTGACACCAGCTAACATTTACTGGGCATCTGCAGAGTGGCACTGACTAAGGCATGGGGCACTGACCCAAGTTGAATCTCACAATGGCCCGAGGACAAGGGTACCCTCACTACTGCCATCTTAAAGACGAGGAAACTGCCTCACGTAAGGGTTTGAGTATCTGGCATAAGGTTGCCCAGTTAGTGAGTGGCAGAGCTGGGAGTCCAATCCAGAGCCTGTCTTGAAAAACTATGTCTTACCCTTTGTGCCTTGACCCGAGAAGTGAGCTTTCGGCGTAATGGTTTACGCAGACGCCTTTGCCTTCTCACCCGGATTTGCAAGCTTTATTGAGTAACTCCTAGGAGCCAGGCACAGTCTCCTACAGACACCCACTCCTAACTCTCCAGTCACCTTCGAAATACACGTTAATAACTTTTGCTGTGAGTGAGTAAACAAAGTCTCAGAGAGGTCAAACACCAAGTCCCAAGGTCCTCCGTCAAGTAAGCAGAACCGCAAACACTGAACACTGGGCGCTGCTTCAAGTACTACAAGCAAGGAGTCCAAAGCTGAGCTGTTCATTTATTCATTCAAAGAACGGACCATCTACTATGTGTCAGGTATGTGCTAATTCCTGGCTATAGTGGGAGAGGGGGGCACGGTCCCTGCCCCCGGGGATCAGTAGACAAGCAGGAGGAAAAGACAGAGCTTAGGAAGAGCCACCCAGAGGAGAAGAGGATGAGGCGAAGGGTGCTGTGGCCCCAGAGCAGGAGACCCAGCCAACCTCGGGGAGCAGGGAGAGAGAGGCATCTTTCCCGATGACAGGACATTTAAACAGAGGTGTGGGAGTGAAGAGGAGGCTGCCAAAGGTCAGAAGCAGGAGGAAAGATGATTGGCTGTTTTCAGGGGGAAAAAAGCCATGATTCGGTGTGGATGACCGTAGACCGATAGGAAATGTTTTAGGTTAGCGTCCAGCTGTGGAGGGGAAGTTAGAGCCTCAGCGGCAGCCCAGAAAAGGCTGGTGGGATACAGAAGGTGAGACTCAGACCCGGAGGTGAGGCCACAGGCAGGCAGCTGTGGCTGGTCCCTAAGCCGGTGAGAGTAGTGGCCCAGGCCAAGGAAGGGGCAGTGGGATGGAAAGAGGTGCAGGTGAGTGGGGGTATCTGGGAGAAACCGATGCCTCCTGGTGTCTCCACCGAGATGGGCGACTGGGAGAAGGAGCAGGGTCCACTGTGGTGATGGGGACTGCGGGAAGCCAAGATCTGGGCTCTGCTCATCTGCCTAGGTGGGTCACATTCCACTGCCTCTTGATTCTTTGCTCGGGCCTCTCTTCTCAGCATGCTGGCTAGTTCATTAGTTAATGTGTATATATCATTCAATTGTAGTCTGGTTCTATTAGAATGTCAGCCTCATGGAAGGAATTTGGACTTGAACAAGGCCTGGCACATAGTAGATGCTCACTAAAAATGAATTCTTTTTATTGATGCAAAGACCCAAATGTATGTTTTCTCTGTGCCAGGCACAGTACTGAGGTGCTACACATCCAGATGAGATTAAAATGTCCAAATCAGGGAGGTTGCAAGTAGATAGCTAGTCCGGGGCACTGATCAGCCTGGGAAGGAGCTGTGTGTGGCATTTCTTGCTGTGTGTTCCCACAGACCCTAGGCTTTTCCTCCCGGGGCACTGTTCCCCATGTGTGGAATTGCTGTTTGATGTCAAAGTTTGACCGGCACACGGTAGGCCTGCAATATGTGTTTGATGAATGAATGAATGATCACAACAAAGGCATGGGCTGTGGAAGTCATCTTGGGGCGTCTCAGAAGGCTAGCAGGGGTGACAAACTGACCTTCAAAGGCCAGGGGAAAAGGTGACAAGTGGCCAGGAGAAGGAGGGTATTTCTAGCGGAGCTGCAGTGCATGGGTTTGCCAAGGCATGAAACAGGATGAGAACCTCCGGGAGGCTGGGGGAACTTGGGGCTGCTTCAGAGGCCGGGCTGAATCCAGACCGCCTGCAGCGCCTCTGAGAGGGGCCTTGTAGTCCTCTCCGCCCTGTGGCCAGTGCCCAGGCAGGAGCAATGCAGTGCAGTGGGAAGAGAGCGAGCTGCGGAGTGAGGTACATGTGGGTTGGAGAGCAAGCTTGGCTGCTTGCTGGCTGTGTGACCTTAGGTAGTGATTTAACCTCTCTGGGCTCAGCTGCCTCGCCTGTAAATGCGGACGTGGTGCTTCGTTTGTCCCTTTGCGCTTACTGTGTCCTTTGTCCGAGTGCTTTCCTCCGAACTCCTGGTTCAGAGTGGCTTAAGCCGCCCCTTCAGAAAGGCACTGCTTTTCTGAGACGGTGATGCCCTGCGGCCGCTTCTGTTTTCTTCACGGTGCGTGTTGCTTGATAGCCTCTTGATTGTTTAATGCCTGGCGTCTCTCACCCACCCCCACACACACCACGTCAGACCCCAGCTCTGAGCACTGCAGGAGCCAGGCCTAGTGAGGGCCTCGGACAGCGGGCGCCCCGTGAGTGCTTGCTAAGTGCACGAATCCGGTGATGGCCGCTGGGATCAAGCAGGGGGAGCCAGGCAGAAGCGTCTGGAGATCAGGAGGAGCCGGTGGAGAAGGCCCAGCCCATGGTGTCCGGGGCGGGCACTGTGGGGGAAGGACTCTTCACAGGGTGCCCTGCTGGACACCCCGTAGCAGAAAGGGTACACTGACCAGGAGGCGGCAAGTTCACTCCTTGCACCCGAGCCGGGGCGTTTGCTGCCCGATGGGCTGGGAGGAGGCAGGGGGACAGCGATACTGGGGAGAGGGCTGGTCCAGCTTGAAACGTGAGGTGTGTGTATTTGGGGGAGTGGTTAGTTCCGAGCCTGTTGGGACCCATGACCTGAATCCCCGCAGCGAAGTTGCTTTCAGCCCAGGACGGCCACTTCGGGGTCACCAACCTGCCCCTCTCTGGGCTGCTGTGGGATTTCCCCCAGAACTGGGCTATGGCCAGGAAGATTAGGATAGAAAATAAAGTCACAGCATGGGGCGGGGGGAGAAAGAAAAGAAAAGGGCACCTAAAAGTACAGAGGAATAGCAAGAAGAATGATTTTTAAATATATTTAAATGCTCTTTATTTTTAAATGTTTTCTTTCATTTATTTATGAGTATATGTTTGGGCTACATTATAAATGCACTCATCTTGGGGAATTTGGTGCATACACAGAGCACATCCTAATCATTTAAGAAAAAGAGCATTGAAGGGCAGAGAGCGGAGGAAGAAAAGACAGCGCCCAGCAACTTCTAGGGGAGAAGAAATCTAATGTGAGTAAAGAGGGAGAAGCACACAAGGTACCTGGCTGGCTGGTTTGGGTCCCAAGTGGCCTAGCGTTCAGGCTCAGAGAGGCCCAAATGACGTCCCTCGGTCCCATCACCCCATGCTCTGCTTGCTGACTTTTTTCCTTAGCAGCATTTGTATTTGCTAAGGGGAGGGCTTCAGCGGGTCCTGGGCCACACGGATCCTGCAGAGGGGCCAACTTGGTTTCAGCAGCTCAAGAGGGGGTGACTGCCGAGGGCAGGAGTAGGTGACAACCCCGTCATCAGGTCCCAGTCCTGCAGTGTCCTGGCAGTGTGGCCTCAGGAGAGTGACAACATCCCACCCTGTCTGAAAAATAGGGGCAGCACTGCCTGCCTCGAGGCACTGTTCCGATAATTAAATAAAAGAACATGGAAAGCCTCCTTCCTGGGCCTACTCCATGCTAAGCCCTAGATAAATATTAGCTACACGTGGTGCTCCTGTTGGGCATCGTGTGCCTTGAATACAGCACGAAAGTAGAAAAGATGTGGTCCCTGCTCTGAAGCCACAGGCCCAGCAGAGGGAGACCAGCAGGCGGAGCTCAGAATAATGTGGGAAATGGGGTGAAGGTGCAGGGGGAGGGAGGCAACCCCCACTGCAGAGGGTGGATGAAGCCACCTGATGTTCAGGCAGGGCTAGAGGGGGTGGGGGCAGCAGAGTTGTGTTGACAAAGAAGAGCTAATGCCAGCGTGGCAGGAAAGGCCAGAGAGGGGTTTCTAGGCAGAGGGGTAGCAGGTCCTAAGAGATGGGGTGTAAGACATTTGCTCCGGAGAAGTTTGCTGAACACCACGAACCTGGTATCCTCTCCGAATCGGGGAAGAGACACACCCAGGAGGCAGACGGCATGTGGTTGCCCACAGTGGGGGCCTTCACTGCAGACACAGTGGGTGCCTGGTGCATTGGAGGCAGCTACAGGCAGCTCTGTTTCCCCAGGTGCCAGGAGGGAGCCAGCAGAGTGTGGCTGGAAAGGCAGGTGGCCCTTGAATCAAGCCCAGGCCTTCTGTGTGCCAGGCTCTGGGTGATGGATGGAAAGGTGAATAAAACCAAGTGTGTCGCTGGACGTGGTGGTGCACACCTGTAATCCCAGACTTGGGAGGCGGAGGCAGGAGGATCACTGTAATACAAGGCTAGGTTCGGCCACACAGTGAATTCAAGGCCAGCCTGAACTACATAGTGAGACCCTATCTAAAAAAACAAAAGAAAATGCCAAAGCAAAACCAACCAACCAACCAACCAACCATCCAACAAACCCAAGTCTGTGGCTGGCAGGAACCAGTGACTGAATACAGAGCGACTGAGGGCTGTGGTGGAGAACACAGCAGGGAAGGCTCCCTGGAGGAAGTGCCTCCTTCCCAGGGGAGCAGCAGACCCCTAGCCTGAGTCCTGCCCTGCAGGCTCAGGGGGATCAGTCCCATCAACTGGCACCTCCTGGCAGTCTTTCCCTAGTGAAGGAGGCACTGGCATCATGAGACAGGGACCAAAGACCAGAGTATAGAGGAGCAGCAGGAAAGCTTCCTGTGGGCAGGAAGTGTGGACCAAGGCCTCAGCCCTTCCTCCCAAGCTCTGAGCTGTTGAGCCTGGTTCCTCCATCTCTCTGAGTCTCTGTCTTGTGGGTGCAAGGGTGGCATTTGGGGAGGTTTGCATTCTGAGTGCTTTGTCCTGGGTTCCACCCAATGCACCCCCAAGGTCAAATTCACTCAGGGTTCTAAGCACCTGTGCAAGGTGACCAGGACTGGACCGTCAGAGGGCCAGGTCTGTAAGGGGCCATGGGGAGAGTGGACAAGGGTCCTGTCACAGAGGTCAAGTTCCACTTCCCCTGAAACAGCTTCCTCTTCTGCAGCTCACACAGGGACCGAGCCCAAGGGGGTCAAGCTGGAGCCCTTGTGCTTGTGCGGCATCTGCTACCCTAGCCCAGGAGCTCCCTGTGCACCAGCATGGTGGCCCCTCAAAGGCCTGCTGAGAATTCGGAGGAACCCGGGGGCTTTCACAGGCCTGCAAGGGCAGACCCCTGCCCCAGGCCAGCCCAGGCCAGGCTTGGACCCGCGGTAGTTTCCCTCACTGTCATTTGCATCTTGCGTTGAGTTGCCACGGAACAGGCCCTCAGTACTGTAGGGAAGGTGAACAGTGGAGAAGAGTGGAAAAACTGATCCTAGCTGCACGTTCTGTTTATTGACGGGAGAGTCCTGTTGACCAGCCAGATACCAAGACATCCGCCGAGCATGGACTGTGCCTGGAATGCCTCACTTTGTGTGAATTCACTTCATCGTCACAGCAAGCCCTCAAGGGAGGTTCTGCCATGATGCTTGTCTTGCAGATGGAAAACTCAGAGCACAGAGGGGTTGAGTAATTTGCCCAAGGCCACACAACCAAGTATGTGATAGAGTCAAGACTCAGCCCTGAGGCTGTCCTGGAGACCTTCATGCTGCAGAACAGTGCCGTGGGCCGTGTGCACACAGGACTCCGGGAAAGTGGGGAACTGCGGCCAGCTCCCTGCTTTGAACCTCGCCTCTCATCTCCCTGCTGTCCCCAAAGCCCTCCGCACTGAAGTGTAGCCGCACCCCTTCCTTCCCCTACAAGGTGACCCTTTCCATTCTATCTGTTGTTTTCTCTTTGTCCCTGGTGTCCACCCACGAGCAGATCATCTGCAAGAAGACACAGAGACTGAAGTCCCGGCCAGCGGTCCCTGCTCGGGCTGCCTTCTCTTGCTTTTCCTTGTCCTCTTCTCCCTGAACTGTACATCCCTCCAGATCCCTCCACACCTGTGCGAACCACCTGTGCGATTTTCACCTGTTTGGAGAAACCAGAGTAATGCGGACGGCCAGTCAGACACCCCAGGCATCGTGTGCACACGTTCACACGGAGGGCCGGGCCACTGTTCTGCAAATGGGACTTTATGAGCCACCCTTTCTGCGTCTTGCTGTACTCGTTCACAGTGACACTTGCGGGAATCCCTCCAAGTCAGGTGCAATTGCTCTAATTCAGTCTTTTAATGTGGCATCATGTTTCAGAGTGAAGAAGAACTATAATTTCTTCATCCTGTCTTCTATTGACAGGCATTCACTTTATTTCCTGTTTCTTACCCTCTGCTATAAACAGTGCTGCAATAAACATCCTTATACACACAGCCTTCCGACCAGAGCTTTTACTTGGATGGAATAGAATCCCAGGAGCAGGATTGACCAAATGAAGGGTATGTGTATTTTTTTTTTATTTGAGTATCTTGCCAGAATGTTTTCCAAAAATACTGTAACTCTTTGAGTGTCTCCAGCTCATGAGCCGGCGATTTCCCTGCATCCACTCCAGCCATCGGTCCTAGCTTTATTTTTAATTTTGCCTGTCTGATGGAGCTGAGATGAAATCTCATGGTTACTGTAATTTCCATTTCCAGTTCAACTCGTAAGTTCGGGCATCTTTTCCTGTGTTTGTTGGCCGTTTGGACTTGTGCTGAGTCTCGCCTTTCTTGTCTTTGCCTGACTAGAATCCTCCTCATCCTTTAGTTCGGAACAGCTCTTTGCTGTAATATACAGACATTAACATTTTGTTTGACTTCTGTGTTGCAAGCAGTCTTATACTCAAACTGCCTGTCTTTATATTGATACTGAGAATGACATCTGCTGCCATAAAAGTAATTTTTGTGTGGTAAAACATGTCTCCTTTTAAATATGACATTTTTAAATGCCCGAGACTGCTCTTGTCCTCTCCTACATTTCTTTCAAGGTATTTGTTGCTTTAATTTTCTTTTTTTTTAACCTGTTAACTTTTCAGTCAGTCAGGGATTTATTTATGTCTATGGTGTCATATGAGTTATCAACTTTCTTTCAGAAGATAGCTGGAATTAATGCTGGGACCATTAATGAGACAACTGCTCATTCTGCAAAGGAAGTGAAAGACCACCCTAGCCTCAGATCAACTCCTCAGGGGTGTTCTGATCCAGCTCTGACCCCTCTGTTCCACGAGGCAGTGTTGCATCCAAATCAGCTCAGATCCCATGATAGGGCCTGCGTCTGTTCTGATCTCTCACAAGCAAAAAGTTTCCCACCAATTCTTCTTTTTCATACGATCTGGACACCCTACATTCTTCCTTCTTCTATGTGAGCTTGGAGTTTTATTTAGTGGGGATTTAGCTCCTTTGCTGTCTTTGGTACCTAAGATGAGTCAAGAATTCAGTTGTAGAGCCAACACGTGTCACTTTTCTTTGCCTTTTTAATGCCTCCTGTCCCCCTCTGCCCCTAGGACCGAGAGACACGAAATAGTATCCAAACCAACAATAGCTAACATGGAAATGTCAGCAAGGCAGACAAATCTGAGTGGAGAAAGCTTTAGAGGTGCCAAGACTTTGGAGGGTTCTTGCATTCCAGAAGAAGGTCTGAGGAGCAAAGGAATATTGTTATGTGACACCTGTTTTGGGAACACATACCCGATGCTGGACTTTAGGGTCTCAGGGTATAGTGGGGGTAAAGCCAGACAAAAGTTCAACTTCAGGGTGTGACAATGGTATTGTGTTATTTTCTGGTGTGACGATAACATTGCAGCCTATACGTGAAGTCTTAAAGAATGCATACAGAGCCTATCATATCCCGGACATTATTTTAATTGGTTCTCATTCATTTATTCATCAGATCCTCAGAATAGCCCCCAAAGAATGGGTACCATCTTTCTAGTTTTACAGATGAGAAAAGTGAGGGCCCCTTGGGGTCCTGAATTTGTCCAGGGTCACACTGAGTGAGTGGCCCCTGGTCCTTCTCTTGAACACCAGGAACTACCGTCTTGGACTTTTTACTATTTGTTCCAATTAAACTTTAAGCAGAGGGCTCGATAAGATGGGGTGAGTTCGTTAGCAGGAAGGGCTGTGGGAGCCACAAAGCAGGATGATAAGGGAGAGAAGGCTCGAAGATGCCATGGTTTGAGTGTGTTCCCCCGAAGTTCATGGGTTAGAGCCTTAATTCCAATGCAGCCCCTTGTCTTCCCAGCTTCCACTGTGCCGTGAGTCAGTGGGGGCTCCTGCCAGGTCCCGCCACCTGATTGCGGACTTCCAGCCTCCAGAACTGTCTGCCTCCCCACAGCTCTTTTCTTTAGAAATCACCTCTCTCGGGTGTTCTGTTACAGCACCAGGAAATAGATTAAAACACAGGATTGGGGGAGACCCAGGGTGAGGGTGCTGGGAGGCAGTCCCTTTGAGGGGCAGAGATCTCCCCAGGATGAAGAGGCTATGTGGGGGTCAGGACAAATGTCCAGGAGGAGGGGCCAGCAGGTGCAAAGGTCCTGAGAATGCAGTGGAAAGAAGGTTGATGGAACAGAACATGGCAGAGGAGTACGAGAGCTGAGTGAGCGGTGTGGCCCGGACTGGGTCTTACTGCCGAACCCCGGGAGGTGCTTTAGGTTCAAAGTGAACTAAGACACCGGAGGAAGATTATAACGACTTACTGGATTTATAGGCCCATTGACCATTTAAGTACATTTTCCTACATCTTGCAGAGCTAAATTCATCTATAACAGAGAAGTCATTTAATTCTGATGTCAAATTAACTGCTCTTGCCTTTCTGCAGAGCCACCTGCTTTTGATTTTTCTTTTTGCCTAAGTTAATTCAAGTTTTTCAGCCCTTGCCACATTCTCTGCAGCTCCTACACATACTTTTGGGGGAAATGGTTATAACATTATTATGTTATTACTGGTCACGGAGCAGGGATAATTCACTTTCCCAATCGCTCTACGCTGCTTATGAGATATGCCGCATCAACGGACAGCACCGGCCGTCGGATTACCGAGCTCTGAGAACCAGTGTGGACAGACAGCGGTGAGCTTGTGCGACGGAGCGGGAAGTACTGATGGTGACCTCTGACAGGCTGAGATGACCTACGGTCATGCAGTCCAGATTCAGAAGTGCACCCACCAGGCAGATTCTCCAGGGCACAGCCTGTGGCAACGGCCGGCATCCGACTCATACCGTCCAGGCATAACACGCTACACAGGCCCTGCTGGCTTGCATTGGTTCTAAGTTAGTTCCCAACAATGCCACGTTGAATGGATTCTGTAGATAAAGAGTCCCTAAGCACAAGTCTGCTTTGACAAACAGTTGGCGGTACCCAAGCATTTGTAGGGCAGCCTGCAAACAAACCACACTGGTGTGTACGTGGGGTCGGTGGACCCTCGTGCCATTTTGACGTCAACCTGGAGAGTGTTAATTGTGAACGAGCCAGGTCTGGGGGATAAACAGTCGCTTGGTTCACTTTATGGTAGAACCACCCTGAATCTCCATTTGGAAAAGGTCAGGACATTCAGTGGACTAAAATGAAAGGCTGTGAAGTACCACAGATTCTAGCAACCCACTGGAAAGGACACATCTATTTATGGCTCTGTGTTCCTGGTCTTTGCTTTCTTTCTGTCCACTAGCTGGGTTTTTTTTTTAATCCTGGAATCATGTTTTGGGAAACAGAATCAAGAAAGCAGGAAGGGAGAGAGAGAGAGAGAGAGAGAGAGAGAGAGAGAGAGAGAGAGAAATGGACAAGAAGCCCTCTGCTTGGGGCCCAGGAGGAATTCTTCAGGGTGTTGCAGAAACTGTAGGAGTTATGAGGGAGGTGGATGGGACTAGAAAGGTGAATTTTAAGAACGATTGCTACAGACGGTGAAGATCTGTATCGTGTTTGAGAAGCCTCATGAAGTGGCCTGGCTGATCTTGAATCTTTTGTGACCCTGACAGCCATCCTCTCTGGAGCCCGGGCCACCCACAGCTTGGCTTCACAGGCCAGAGAGGCAAAGGAGCTGAGGCAGAGAGGCTGCTCTGACTGGCTTTGCATGGGCCCAATGTTTGGTGCAGGGTTGCGCCAAAATACGCGGTGCGTATGTTAGGACTTGTTTGTCGTTTTGGTTTTCGATGTTAGGTGAAAAGGCCAAAAGCAGTAAGTGGCGCTAGGCACACAGCCCACAGGTTGACACACCGGTCTCACTTCTGGTCCTGTCCTTCACTCCGTGAATTGTTAAAGGTGCGCTTCCTCCCGCCCTCCCCTGTTTCTTCCCCTCCTCTTTTTTGGGTGGTGCTGGTCCTTGTTCTTCTATGTGCCGGGCCTGGGCTAGGAGTTGGATATAAAAAGACTTGTTTATCTTTCTGGGTAATTTGGAGATGGGCGTTCAATGGTGACAGGAGCTTAGCAGAGGGCGGCAGAATTTTATGTGGAGGAAACAGCAGAGCAGCCCCCTGCATCGAGGTACATGGCAAGACCCCAGCCGATCCTTGAACCGTGAATAATACAGAAGTCTAGATATGCACTTTTCCCCTCATGCATACACCGATGATGTTCAATTGATAAACCAGGCCAGTGAGCTATTAACAAAGATAGTACTAAAAAGAAAACAGAATGCTGTCATAAAAGTTACGCGAATATTCCCTCCCTTTCTTCCCTTTTCTCTCCCTCAAAATCCTTTATTTTGCTGTGCTGACTGCGGTTGACTACGGGCAGCTAGAACCCCAGAAAGCGCTCTTGGAAAAGGGGACTCTATTGTATGTACAAAATCATAGAGGTTTAGAATGGCCAAGAATCTTCCAAGGGCAGAGAGCAACTCAATGGGCCTCAAATCGAGGGTATGATTTTTTTTTTTTTTTTTTTTTTGGCACCGGGGATCAAACTTGGGTCCTTGCACTTGCAAGGCAGGCGGTGGAACCACTGAGCCAAATCCCTGGCCCTCACATCGAGGGTATGAGTGGTTGGGAAAACACGCAGTTCATTTCTCTGTTGCTGGCATTGAGGATGTTCCCTTTCTCACAACTATAAGTAATGCTGAGCGGAACACCTTGATGCCTAGAATGGTTCGGGGGTTTGTCTTAGGGAACACAACCAGAGGCGGAGTCCATGGAGAGCTTCAGGAGAGAGAGTCACTGGTGGCTGTGGCCCATTATCAGTCCGATAGGGTTTCCATCTGCCCACTGCTCAGAATATGGACCCCAAGAAGTGGAAAGCCCTTTCTAGCGCTCATGCCTGGTTTCTCCTGGCATCTGCAAGCTCTGCTTGGTCCAGGACGCTGGAGAGGTCTGCATTCCTGTTGACTCGGGAACTTACTCCGTATTACTTTGTCTTGAGAAAGACCCTTCCTCCTTGGGACTTGATGACTACTGGTTCAGCAGGGACACTGAAAGAGACACGAGGGCAAGGTCAGAAAGCAACGCGCCTGGCCACTTCCTCCCACACTGGCTCCACGTGGAAGCCCCCTGGGCTTGTGCTCCTGTCCTCTGTCTCCTGTCCTCCTCAGGGGCCATGTGAGGATGCATCCTGGGAGGGAGGGCTTGTCAAAAGGTGGCCACTAACTCTGCTGTTCAGCCACTGCCAGTCACCACTGGTGCTGGTCACCTGTGCTCTGAACTCTGTGCCATCTGCCCCCACCCTGCCACACCCTGCCCTGCCCCTACTGACCCCTTTTCCAATGCGAGCAAGCCCTTCCTTCCCTCGCTTCAGGGTGGGATGTTCCTCTGACTGTTGTGCGAGTCAGCTTGGTGTTCCTGTAACAAAACACCCGAGATAGTTGACTTGGAGGAAAGGTTTACTTTGGTTTCTTTCTTTTTGCATAAATTAACTCAATTTTTTCAGCTCTTGCCACATTTTCTGCAGCTGCGACACACACTTTTGGGGGGAATGGTTATGACGTTATTATATTATTATTAGTCATGGAGCAGGGATAATTCACTTTCCCAATCGCTCTACGCTGCTTATAAAATATGCCACATCAATGGACAGCACCGTCTGTCTGATTACTGAGCTCTGAGAACCAGTGTGGACAGACAGTGGTGGTTTCAGAGTCCCCGGCTACCTGACTCCATCGCCTTTGGTCCCAAGGAGGCACAGTACATGGTGAAGGCAGAAGAGTGTGGCAGAGGAAGCTGGTCTCCTCCTGGAAGGAAAAGACAGAGACCAGAGAACCCTGAGTCCCAACAGTCCGTCAAAGCCCAGCCTCCAGTGAGCTCACCTCAGCCCTCCGGGCCCCACCTCCTAAAGATGCCACCGCTGCCTAATAGTATCAGGGACTGGGGACCAAGCCTCTAGGGGGACACTCAAGATCCCAAAACAGCAAGCTTGGATACAAACTGCACAGTAATTGGCTTCTTTGGGTTTGTTTTATTAACAAGCTTTGCAACTTGTTCTTAGCTGTTCACCCCCTGCAATTATAGGCTGGAGCTGGCCTGTTTTGCCCTGGCTAATGGGCTGTGCAAGCACATGTACGCTTCACAGTCTCTCCGTGCCTAGGTTTTTTAATATGTAAAATGGGGATTTACCATCGTACCTCTGTCTCGGCTATGCCTCTTGGCCCCAGACTCAGTGACACCAACAAAGTCATTGCTTTTCTCCTTCGGGCCTTCAGAGGTGGTGGGGCTTTCTGCTTGGGCCATCGGGGGTGCAGGACCTGTTCTCACCGACATGCGGGTTCACGGGGATCGGTTCTATGTTGACCGGAGCAGGCGAACAGGGCCGGAAGTACACTTACTCCATAGCACGGGGATGGGAGTGAGTGTTTGTTGGACAGTGTTCCTAACTATCACGTTACTGCAGAATTCGTTGTGCAGGTTGAGTGATTTAATAACTTTAAAGTGTTTGGAATATTACCTGGCACGTAATCAGTGCTCAATGACTAACAGACATCAGTAGTGATAAAATTAATATGAGGTAGTAACATTAACATGGGCATTTTTATTAGGATGTGCATATCTTGGACAGTCTTTCCAAAATACACATCCATACTCAAGTATAAACGTCTTAAAAGACGGTCTGTCAAGGGCTGGATGGCAGACGGTTAAGGCCGAGCGGCACATGGCTAAGGAAGGAGTGTTGAGAATCAGCAAACAAAAACCTAACGGTTAAGGAGAGGGTCCTGGAGTTCAGCTAAGTTTGGATCACAAGTCCAGTTCTGTGCCTTTCCTGTTGAGTGACCAGGGCTGGTTTCCTATTCAGTCAGTGCTCGCAAGGCTGTCGGTGCATGGGACAAGCTGGAATTCTGCAGACAAAGCCCGAGTGGCCCCACGTCTTGAAACCTCAGTGTCCCTCTCCAAAAGCGTCCCTTTCAGAGGGTTGAACTGATGACGGCCGAGGCTATGCACGTACAGGAGCGCACGTGGGTGCTTAACGATAGATGTTTAAAATGATGTCGCTTGCACTCGAGTCCCACAGACCTGGGCACGCTACTTGCCAGGGTGCCCAATAGAGCGGGCAGGCCAGGGGGTGGGGGACAGGCCAGGCGCCATCCCATCTTACAGCTGAGGCGGCAGAAGCTCAGGGAGGGCAGAACATGGTAAGCAGCAATCAGTGGACCTTAGTTAGGAGCCCAGGTCTCAGCCCCTCTCGGCTGGACCTCGGGACTTCTCCAAGGGCTTGGGGAGACTGTGGGGACTGTCACAAACCACACAGCCTGACAAAGAATGGTTGCGTGGCTTTCAATGGCAATGCCACACCCAGATAGGCTCTGGTTTCCACACGGTGAAGTGGTCATTTAAATGAAGCTGGTCCTGAGAACCGGAGGTTCCACCTTTGCCTCCAGCCTAGCCTGAGCCAGTGTGGGTGCCACGGCCGCCCTTCAGGCCTCTGTCCTGTCCCACTCGACCCTGTGTAGTGCTGGAGGAAGTGGAGGGAGAGAAGCTGTACCCCTCAGGCTGGGCACCACAGCCCTTATTCCTCCACTCACCCAGACATAGGCTACAGGGCTCCCTCCGTTTGGACCCTGGGATCACCACCCCAGCTGTGTGACCTTAGGAAGTCACCTTACTCCCTAGGGCTCAGTCTGCTCATTTGTCAAACGGAGGGGATGATGGCTTCTCCATCAGGGCAGCCTCGAAGGAGCAGAATAAGATAGCAAAGCACACACCTATAGTTCCAGCACTCTGGGAGGCTGAGGCAGGAGGATTGCAAGCTCAAGCCCAGCCTGGGAAATTTAGAGGCTTAGTGAGGTCCTGTCTCAAAATTTTAAAAGGCTGGGACGTAGTTCAGTGTGAAGAGAAGTAGTCAGTTACCCTTTTCTCTACCCTTTGTCCCGGTGGAGGATGCTCTCCCAGCACGGAGACACGCGTGGCCTCTTTAAAAGCACCCATGCCCGGCAGGGGTGCAGGGACTCAGCTTACAGAGCCGGGGCTGCACAGGACCACACCTCCTCTCCCTCACAGCTCACACACCACCGAGCGTCTCTGCGGTTAAGGGCCAGGGGCCTGTGGCTGGGAGAGGAGGTGGTGGGGTCGCACTTGGGCCCGAGGCCCAGGCTCTGGTAGCCCCTGGGAATGCACCATACCGACTGTCTCAGTCTCCTCCGTCTCCTGGACCCTTCCTCCTGGCTGTCCCTGTGTCCTGCAGGGGACGGAGTCTTCCTGAATGAGGCTGGATCGCTGCCACTGTTCAATGAGCTAATAGTGAAATTTGAAACGCAAGGGCTGGAGGCAGAGGGGGAAAAGGGAAGATGTGATTCACAGGCAGGAGGATTGGTGAACAGGGAGGGCCTCACCCTTCGGTACAGGGAGGGGAGGCCCAGGGGTGCGTCAGGAGCGGGGACGCTCCGGGGCTCCTCTGAGAGGAGCTGCTAGGGCTCGCACAAAATTGCAGCTTCTAATAGTGGTCTTTCCAATCACAACATACGGTAATTCTCCATCACTTTGAACTTTACCACATTCAAAAAACTATTAAATACTGGCCACCCCATATATTTCCGTTACCTTAGGACTGGAGATCAGTTCTACCTTAGAAATATATTTTACTCTCACACTGAAAACCAGTCAGGTTCGCTTCAGCCCCGCAAAGCATGTTTATGCAATCAAATGAGCACAGGCAGCCAGCGGCACCTTTTTTCCTCGACAGGAGATGGCAGTGGGACACTTCTCCAGGATGGAAGTGACAGCCGGGTTCCAGCGCCCTCTTTCCTGCCCCTTCGCACGACAGGGCTGGGGCTGTGGGCTGACGTGGCTTAAAACGTGGACGGTGCTTGGTCCCACTGGCGTCTTGTTCTGCAGTGGCCGAGGCTGTTTCTCCTGCAGGGAGACAGGGAAGTGTCGGATTCTGCCACAGCCGGTTCACTGCCCCCTCACGAAAGGCGCTCACGGTCTGCCCTCGGCTCCCTGAGTCGGGTCCCTGAGCTCCCACACCTCCATTTCCGGTACCCGGTTCCACCCATCCGGGCATGCTCAGCGGGAAGCCCGGCGTCACCCTCTGCTCCCCGACTTTTACTTCCTGAATCGACTCCATTAGGAAATCCTGTGCCGTGGAGGGTGCCTGTAGTCCAGCTACTCAGGAGGCTGAGGCAGGAGGATCGCTTGAGCCTAGGAGTTTGCAGCCAGCCTAGGCAACATAGCAAGAGTCTGTCTCTCTCTTTCTCGATGATCAATCAGTCAAGCAAACAGAAATTGGTGGGGTCTCTCTACCTCCCCTCGTTCACTTCCACTTTTTCCTGGCCCATTTCGTTACCCTCCTACACGATCTCGCCACTCCAGCTCTGCTCCATTCCCAGCCCTGCACCCATTCCCAGCTCAGCCCATGACTCCTCTCTGCATCAGCCTGGGCTGTGACTCCTCATTTCACTCAGGACTAAAGCCAAGTGCTAAGGTGGCCTCCTGGGCCCTCCAATCTGGCCCCCTACCTCACAGCTCTCTCTGCACCCTGCTCAGGCACAGGTCACCACATGAGGCTCTCTCCTGCCTCAGGGCCTTTGCACTGGCTGCACCCCCCTTCTGGATAGGCACTTGGCTCACTTCTGCACGCCCTTTGAATCTGTTCAACAGGCTTGCTTCTCTGTGACCACCACACCCCAACCCCAAACTCATCTCTCTCACCCTGTCACCTTTGAATTTTCTTACTTACAAATTAACCAAGTGTAAGCTTTTGGAGAGTTTATTCCTGGAGACTGATGATTCTCACACTGAGCCCTTGGCCTGTTCTGTTGCCCTACATGACATGATCTTCAGGAGCCTGCCTTGCATACAATGGAGACTTGTGCGTCAATCCTGGAAACTCTCCTATTGGCCTCAGTTTCTCCCTGACACTAAGGAGAGGACAGCATTGGCTCCTTCCACTCTACACAGGATCATTCAAGTCTGTGGGAAACCGTGGATCCAATGGGGGAGATGCTGACATGGCTCAACTTTCCAAGCCCTCCTTGTTTTCACCTTTCTGCTCTGGAAATGGCAAAGCCCCTGTAGACTCCAGCTCCATTCTACCACAGGGCCTTTGCACATGCTGTGCCCGTTTCTGCCTTGTGGGCTCTTGGCCATCATTCAAAGACCTGGTTAGGTGTCCCCTCTTCTCCGAGGCTCTCCATGACATTCTCACCCTCCTCTCTGTCCTGGTGACTTCTCTGCAGAGTCTCTCAGTGTGTGTATCCTGTTGTCTTGGCAGTGCTCAGTTCCATGTCACTGTCCCATCAGACTGTGCATTCCTTGAGGGCAGAACTGATAGCTTGTCCTGTATCGTGAGCTGGCCCTGGGGCCTGGCATGTGGCAGTTGTCCAGCCAGGTGTGTTTGTTGGGGATGTCAGAACGAATCTGACTCACGTCAGAAGAGAGCAGAGATTGCTCTGAAGACCCTTCCAAGGTCACCGGCTGACAGGGAGAGAGCTCTGCTGTATTATTTGATTATTTATTTATACTGCTTCCAAATAGGATCCGTGGTAGCACAGCGTGAAGGCTCAGAGCGAGGAAGCAGAGCCTGCATCTCGAGGGCCTCGCTCCTCTTCCTGCCTCCTTCCTGCCGCCTCTTCCTCTGTCCATCAGTAACGCCCAGTCCCATCCTCCAGCGAAGGCCCCGATCTCCCCCAGCTCTGCGTGCCCTGCAGCAGAACTTTCACAGGCTTCTCTGCTCAGCCAGTTTCTGCAAGCTTCCCCCGCCTCCACTGAGCCACCCTGGGTGAGGGTGCCTGCTCCTCTGTGACACCGAATACCGCAGGGACGCTGGGCCCTCAAGCACTCACACTCTGGGCTCCAGACGGGCAGGGGCTCTGCGTCCTCCTCACAGCCTGGCCCCTTCCCATGCGTCACTAGGACACATCCCTGCCCGAGAAGCCCTTTCCTTCTCCCTCCCAAGGGGACGGTGCCACCACCCGAGCCTGCCGTGTGGTGGAGACGCAGCCAGAAGGAGCTGTGCTCTCAGGTGGCCTTGCCTCCAGGGACTGGACAGGAGGGACATCCTGGCCGGGGCGGCTGCAGGGCGGGAGCCTCCGCTCCAGAGTCGTGGCTGGAGTCGAGCCTGAGCCCGCAGAACTGACTCTTCTTCTGGCCGCGCTCACGGAGCTCGGCCAACTGCACTGCCGTGCACCTGTGTCCCAACTTCAGACGCCAGGCAGGCTGGACCTTGTCACCCATGAGGAGGGGAGGCTGCCATCGACTGGGCACTGTTGTGCACGTGGAGCTGGGCATCAGAGGTCCGCCGCTATGCCCTGGCCCTGGAGGAGGGTGGGCCGTCGTCCCCATCTTACATCAGGCCAGGGTTTCAGCCAAAGCACGCTGAGGAAGGCACCAGGGCGGGCACATCCCCAGTGCCTCACAGGGGCTTGTTGAGCTGTCGAGGACCCCGTGGTCACCACGCCTGGGGCCATGTGACAGAAAGGAGAGGCAGGGACCAGAGCTCCTCGGCTCGTGGTCCGGAGTCTGGCGCTCACCAGGGAAGACATGAGCACAGTCTTCCGGACACGCTCTTCTCACCTGTCAGACGGGCAGATCACACCGACCTCCCGAGGCCCTTCCCTTCCTTTGCCCGTCTTCTCCTATTCCCACAGTGGGTTGTCTTTGTGGCAGCCCCAGCCACCCCACAGTTAGTGGGTACAGAGAAGCAGCAATCACCAAAGGCGACTTCCGTTTGCTTGAGTTTTTTAGAGATGGTCTCACTGTGTAGGTCATGGACGGCCTTGAATTTGCTCTCCCTCCTACTTCCTGCCTCAGGCTCCCGAGTGCTGGGACTACAGGTGTGTGCCATTATTCCTGGCTCACGGTGCTTAGTTATTACCACTGTGGTTCTCACTGGGCATCTCCCATTCACAGGGCCATCCAGGGGCAAGGGAAGGGGACAGAGGTCTTACGCTCAGTGGAAGTCAGGTGTGTGTGAGAGAGAGCGTCTTTGGAATCACCACCTGGACAGTTTGATCTCAGTCTCTGAAATCCGCAGTGGTTCACATTCTCCCCTGTTGCGGCTGCGTTGCCCTCCCAGCACGTGTGGAAGCCCTAACCCGTAGTACCCGAGGATGGGACTGTATCTGGGGATCGGGTCTTTAACACAGGTGACTAAGTCGCAGGGAGTCATGCGGGTGGGTCCCACTTCGGTCTGGCCGGCTCCCTTCTAAGAGGAGGAGACCTCACGGACATCCGCGGGGGAACAGCGTGAGAAGACGGGAGAGGACACTGTTTACAAGCCCAGGAGAAAGGCTCAGGACAAACCGACTCTGCCGCACCTCCATCGCACACTTCTGCCCTCTGGGATGGAGACAGAACACTTTCCAGGTAGGGTTTCCCAGTGGCGACCCTAGTTGTCTAATACGTAGCCCTACATGCAAGATATACGCATCCGTTCCTGTCCCCCACAATCCTTCTTTAAGGCACTGGCTCAGAGGCTGGGATCTTCTCACCTCCTCACGTGTGGATGTGTGTGCTTAGTAGGGTCCCTGGGCACAGCTTCGGCTGCCGTCCCACCCAGGGGGAAGATCTACTAAGCCATCTGGCTCCCCGTGCCACCCAACATGGGAAGGTGCGGGAGAACTGCCACAGACATCCCCAAATTTTAGCGGGGAGACAGGAGGCACAGAGCAGCCCCCGGTCCAAGGCAATTCTGAGCACCACCTGGGCACATCTCTAGAGGGTGCTCATGCCAGCTGCCCGAGAATGATTCCCCACGGCGCGTGACCCCACTCTCTGGGCTCTTGGTTTTGTCATCTGAATCACCCCTACGTTTCCATGGGCGACCGGTGACTGAGCGTGATGGCGCAGGTCTATGATCCCAGCACTGTGGGAAGCTACGGCAGGAGGAGGCTGAGGCTCGGGCAGCTTAGCAACTTAATAAGATCCTGTCTCTAAATAAATACACACATAAATAAAGGACTGGGGATGTAACTCAGCGCAAAGGTCCTGGTTCCATCCCCAGTGCCACACACACACACACACACACACACACACACACACACAGTGTCCCGTGTTTACAGCTGAGGAGTTTTTCCTCAGCTTCCTTCCCATAGAAAGTTGAAGGTACAAAGGCCTTTCTTTCAATCTGGTTCTCTCCATCCTTTTCATTCAAAACCAAAAGACTTCCTTTAAAGTTATGTGGGTTTCTTATGCATAAGCTTATAAATCTCTTCCGTTAGACAAAGGCTACACTCCCAGGTCTCTTTTTTATCTTGGGCTCCTGGCAAGGCTACCCTCAAGATTCTTAAAAGCTCTATGTGTAAAAGAAAAAGGGTTCTGACATTTGCGCAGGGAGCCTCGGTCTGTTTCAAAGAACCCAGGAGGCACCATGAAGTCTTCCTAGGGTCTTACTAGAAGGCTTTATAGTCACACCCTTAGGGTTAACTGTTTTCCTAAAGGTGACCTTGGCTTTGCTTTGTGCCTAGGAGTCATTTCTCATTTTAAGAATGCCTTGTCATGAACAAGTTTTCCTAGCCAGGGAATTTTTGCCCCTTCACATTTAATAGCTCGTTCTTTGGCTTCTCACTGACAGAACCAGGATTCGAACCCAGGACTATCTGTCCTGCAAGCTTGCACCTTGCTGCACAGTGGAGCAAGCTGAGAGCTCATTAAGTGCTGAGAGGAGGATGGGACGGAGGAGGTGACAGAGTGAAAGGCATCCAGGAAGGTAGTGTGACAGGGACAAAGATATAGAAACGGAGGGGAGTGCAAGGTGTGTTAGGGCACAGCAGGACAACCGGGCGAACAGCACGTTTCTAGCCTTTTCTCCTTGTTTTGTTATTTTAAAATTTGGTTCCTAGTTTTCATTTCCTGGTGAGCACATTTTATGTACCTCTCCTCTGAAGTTTTACTTATTAGGAGGGACTGTTATCAAAACAACCCCACATTTCAGAGTTTTAATACAGCAAGTTTATTTCTCGGGGCACAACTGAATGAAAGTTGGCTGGGGTTAGGCCCAAGGGTTTTGTTGTACAAAGTTATACGGGGTCCTGGTTTCTTTCTACCAATGGCTCCATCATCCTCTAGGATGGCAACCTATGACTTGTTTCTGTTTCTTTATTGAGACAGAGTCTCACTATTTAGTTCCAACTGGCCTTGAACTCATTATGTAGCTCAGGCTGGTCTCAAACTCGTGACAATCCTCCTGCCTCAGCCTCCCAAGTGCTAGGATTATAGGCCTGCCCCCACCCCCAGTTTGAACCTGCTTTTATAAATAGTTTTGTTGCAACACAGCCATGCCCAATCAGTTACATTTTGTCAGTGGTTGTTCCAGCACTACGATGAAAAAGTTGATTGGCCATGACAGAAAATTTGAAATATTTGCCCTCTGGCCTTAACAGAAAAAGACAACTGACCTTTGCCCCGGGGCTCTGCTTCGCTTCTTCCTGGTCCTAGTCTCTGCCATCCTTTCTGCACCAGTGCCCTCAGGGCATGGAAATGTCTTCCAAGGTAGAGTCGGTGCCTGGCTTGGGGACCACTCACTGCCAGGGCTCAGCACAGAACAGCTATTCCAAAAATAGCGCCGAAGAAAGACATGAACCTGTCCAGGGTCTCAATGTCATGGGAGCGCTTCATAAACCCCTCTCACCCGGAAGTCACCTCACTGCATTGTTCTCAGCTTCTGCCCGTTTCCCTACTCATCCTCAGATTCTTCTCTCTCTTGCCCACTGGTTTCTTTCAAATATCCACATGTCAACGCTGGGCTCTTTTACTGGGCACCTCAGGAGCTGCGGGAGACCCTGCCTCAAAATAAAAAATAAAAGGGCTGGGGACGTAGCTCAGTGTCAAGGTCCTGGGCTCAATCCCCAGTGCTATGAAAGAAAGTAAGAAACAAGCTTGTCCGAGGGAGAAAGGCCTGAGGGAATCTGGTGGTGGGGGAGCTTCCCTGAGGAGGCGACTTTGGGGCTGTGATCTGAAGAATCAGCAGATATCCCTCAGGTGGAGGGAGAATGGGCAGATAGTGGGTTAGCCAGAGCAAAGGTCCTGAGGCAGGAGGGAACAAACATAAGTGATAATAACATGCAGTATTATTATTGTTGCTATTGGCAATACAGCTCAGATTCCTCAGTACCTAATGGTATGAGTCATTCATCCGAATGCCCCTTGGCAAGAGATGTAATTGTAGTAGCGCCAGCTGTGCCCTGCCCAGAGTTCTGCCACCCATGCCCCCTGAGGACAGTTTTTGTTTCAGTGGCAGTTTCCTGCGTTGCTCTGTAAGACGCAGACTGGATGCACTAGGGAGTTCGTGCTTCCCTCTAAATCAGTCTCTTTACCACTGGCTGGTGGGAACCGGAGGACCAATACCCAACTCCCTCGCCCCTGGACGGGAAGTACTGCCTGGCGATGCCGCTCAGGGCCTGCAGGGGGAGCCCCATCCTGTAGCTTTCTGCCTGCCCCGTCTCACTGACCCCCAGGCTTGCTGGGTCACCTCCCACATCAGCTGCCTCAGGCTCAGCCTATGGAGGGACCAAAACTAAGACACTATTAAGTATGCCATCGACTGGATGGGGAGACTTGAGGCACGAGGAAGGTACTGTAGAGTGAGGAAATGGACAACTGAAAGAAGTTCCTGGGAACAAGCATTCCGTGTGCAAGGTGTGGTGGGGTGGGGTAGATGGGAAAGATGAGGCCTGCAAAGCGGCCAGGCTTGGCCAGGGCCAGGTGGGTCACTGCTCTAGAGGCCCAGGAGAGCTTTGCAAGGTTTTAAGCAGCCAGGTCGACATCCGGCACTTGGGGACGGGTCACCCTACCCACGAGGGAGCGGAGCTGGGATCCTAGAGGTCTGAGTGCATGTGAGAAGCTGTTTAGGGGCCTTGGCAGAGACTCGCCAGGTAGGGCCACCGACTTCAGATGTTACTGAGTTTGGGGGCCAAAGGCCCGGCTCGGGGAGCCCCGACAGAACGGGCTCGGCCACCCGTCCAACGATGCTCAGGAAGACACAAAGTGGTGCAGGGCAGGAAGGGAGCGCTCGTTCGCGCGGTCACGCTGGGAACCCGGCAGAGAGGTTCAAGGTCTGGCGGAGAGGGGCTGCAGAAGCTGGAGGGGTTGATAGAAAGGGGAACACAAGCGAAGTTTGGGGGTCGGCTTCGCTGGGGGGCAATCCTGCGAGCTACCTCACACTGGCACAGTAAGGACCCGGGAGAGCCACCGGCCCTCAGCGGGGAAATCTGGTTCCTGTTGTAAGACAAGAGCTCTCGCTTAGGGGCAGCCTCGCTGCCTCAGTGCCCATCATGGGTAAATGTCTCCCTCTTGGGGGGCGGCTCGTCGAGGGGTGGTCTGCAGGGCTCTGCTTTTACTGGAATCTGAGGGCAGTGCAGCTGATGACAATGACTAGAAACTCCTAGGCACCGCCTCAGTGGCCCTGGAACTGGATGCCAGTCAAAAGCTGGTCATCAGGTGGCCCTGTGACTCCTGAAAATGACTCGGGTTACTCTCGGAGGGGAGGACACAGACTGGGTAAACTGAGGACTGGTGAGTCTTACATCAGACACTCCCGCGTGCCTACACGTGGAGCTGAGCAGGGCCCAGACCCCAAGTCTCCAGGTAACGAGGGAGACAGATACAAAGGGGGCAGAAATGCCAAGCTCCCCCTGCTTCTCCTCACCCACTGGACACCTGCGCATCCGGCCTCCGAGTCCCCTTTACAACTCTGGGGCCACCTGTGGCCAGGGTCTCTCCGGGCATTCGGGGGCCGTTCACCACAGCAACACTGTCCGTCCCTTCTCCACTCACCCTCGTAGGTCACAGAGACCCCTCCCACCAGGGCCCGGCACCCCGCAGCCCAGCCAGGGTGGTGGCAGCTGCAGCAGACAGCCCAGCTGGGGCTCCTCCTGACCGCGGGGCCCGAGGTGAGCGCATGGCTGGCCGGGTGCCGGTGTTCAGGAGGCTGCAGGGTGGGAGGGGCAGGAGGGCAGGAGAGGGCAGAGCACCCTCAGTGCCTGGGGAGCCCCTGACCGCACAGTGAACCCCTCGTGGGTGGCTTATTGAGGCAGCAGGACCTTTGCTGGGGTTCTCAGAGAGGAGGGACAAGGACCTTACTTTTATTGCAGGCCTACATTTTGGTGCCCACCTCTCTCCACCCCCTCACACCTCCTTCTGCCAAATTCAGCGGGGGCTTTTCCTTGGGGTTCCAGCCCCCAGGGTTGTGTCTACCTGTGGATTTTGCTTGCACTCCGGCACAGCTATGAGCCTGGAGCTTTCCCAGCCCTGTGTCCTTCCCAGGTACCTCCTCTATGCCTGGGTCACTTCTTCATGACCATAGGAGCACAGGTTCCCTGTAAGTCCCACTCCATGCAGGGACGTGAACATTGGGCTGTGCTCTCTGAGCCTCTGAGCATGCTGGGAGGTGGTTGTGAAGACTGGAGGTGAAGGTCCTACATCCTCGGCACCAGAAATGTTGTTTGGAGACAAGTCAAGGCATCTCCCTGAGCCCTACAACGGGGGAGGGGTGAGAGGGTGACGTGGGTATGAGCTTCAAGGGCTGTGTGCCAGATGACTTCCCAGCATGTGATGCCCAGCTCTAAGAGTTGTAGTCCAGGAACCGCTGGTCCTCTCCTGCCTCTTATTCCTGTGCTCTCCTGTCCGCCATGCCCAGGAATGTTGGCCTTTTCTGTTAGCCCAAACTCTTGTCTCCCTCAGGACCTTTGAACATGTCATTGGCCTCATTGCTAACTCTGACTCCTGCAGGCCACCACAGAGAGGGGCTTGCTCGATCTCCCTCTCCAAGGGCTCCTCTGCAGATCTGTTCAAGAGTTCATGTCCTACCTCTCCAGTGGCTTCTATGACACCATTATATGTGTTTGTGTCATCTCCACTAGAACGTACATTCTGTGAGACAGGGAGGAGCCCCCTGTCCCATCAGCCCTGAGGACCCTGTGCTGGAGCAACCCAGCCCTGAGACACATAGGCGCCGTGTGGGCTGTTCACCGAGAGCCCCAGGACTCCACGGGGCCATGGGACATCACCAACGGGAGGGGCAGCCCGCTCCGGTCTCTGCAGCTAGGCCTCTCTCTAGTCGTTTCTGGGGCCAAGGGGGCCAGAGTGCTTGCAGGACAGCCAGGCGTGGGCGAAGGCAGGCCCAGAGCTGGCTCTCAGGAATACCCAGGAAGGGCACGAGCAGAGTTCCCACTTACAGGAACTTGGACTCCAGAGCCCTGAGTTCTGCTCCTAAGAACAGGGTTGTGGGTGGGGCTGAAGGAAGGACCCGTCTTACCCGGGGCTCTCCCGAGAGTCATGGGCACCTGGAGCGAGCCGTGGGCACCGCTGGACACTTCGGCTGTGACAGAGGAGAGCCGCCTGGGAAGACCTGGCAGCCAAGGGGAGGCCTGGGGCTGTGTCCCCTGCCCTGACTTCCTGAGCCCAGCAGCCCTGGGGAGGGAGCTGCCTTTGGGGTAATTTGAGGCAGAAGCTGAGGGACAAGGAGGGCTTGAGGTGCCAGGAGGGGCTGGAGGCAGAGGGGACCCAGGCAAGCCGCGATGGCTACACCTGCACAAGCTCTTCTTTTGTGAAGTTGTCTGCAAAAGTCCCGCTTTGGAGAGCTGCCATGCGAGGTAAGACGGAGGTCCGAGTTGCGGGTCTGTATTTCGACTGATAGGACACGTGTCCTTGAAATCATTTCTCGATCTTTTGCTTGGGGTTTTCCTTTTATACCAGCAAGAAGCAGTCATGACCTGGGCGCTGCATGCTCTTAAGCGATGCTTCTTTTCTTTGCGGCGCGCAGTGGGTGGAGCCCCGCTTGTGCTCTGCCGCTGAGCCCCGGCCCAGCCCTGCCCTTCATTCGAACACCGTCGTCCCCCAGCCGGTGCCCGGCTGCAGCAGCCTGCTCTCTGCTGCGTGTGCACAGCCACGCTCAGGTACACCTCAGGTCGGTTTGCTCTTCTCAAGCTTGAAAGTCAAAACAAGGCGAGGAGAAGAAAGAGCATTCTCACCTGTGAGGCCTGTCCCTGACTCTTGTCCCTGCCTCTTGTCCCTGCCTCAGCGAGGACCAAACGCAGAGTGCACTTGGCCTTGGGGGAGACCCTCACCCTGAGTCGATTTCTGCAGCCCTCAGAACTGCAGGGGCCTCTGCGCGGTGGACAAGAGCTCTGTTTGGGGATCTGAGGGAAGCAGATGAGTTCCCGGCCCAGCTGAGCTGCTGCAATTTGGGTTTCTGTCTCTTTTGCTTCCAGCTGTGGCTGCCCGCTCCTAATTCCTCTGGAAAGGCAGCTCCTAATTAGAACGAATCAAAGAGTCTTTGCTTCGGTTCTGTTTTCAGGCTTGATGGAGTCGTCACTTTGGGGCTTAATCCGGTGCAGCCACTGGTGTGCTGGGCCTCAGGGCTCGGGCAGCTGGCGTGTGTGAGGGGCACTGAGGGCTCTTGGGGCCGCCCTGCACCTCTCACCCCAGGCCTCCCTTCCTTTGCAGAGTTTCTCCCCACCTGCTCTCTCCCTTTGACTGGCAACCCCGGGCCGTCCCAGGCTGCCAGTCCCTGCTGGTGGGAGTGTGAATCGGATTGGTACCATTTCTCCGGAGGGTAATTTGTCACATGCTATTAGAAGCCTTAAAAAAGCGAGTGGGCTTTGACCTGGAAAGTCCCCTTCCGGGCATTTGTCCTGTAGAAATAATTGGACGGGGTCCCACAAGTCAGTGCAAAGGACATTGTCTTTAGTGCTTGTCACAGGAGTGACAACCTGGAAACCTGGTGTTTATCAATGGACGATTATTAAAAACGGTCCTGTAACGGACAACTGGGAGGT